TTATCTATTTTGGAGCTATTATTTCAAGAATGGCCATCCCTTTATCGAAATCTTACATAATGTATCTTTAATTATGTATCTTCTAGTCTGTATTCACTTATTCAAACCCAACTTCAAAATGTCGATGTACATCTCAAATCTGTTCATAACGTGACCAGCTATGGCAGATGTAATCATTCAGATTGATTGAAATAGACTGTCATTATTTACTTAATACTCCAATTGTTCCTTGAAACTTTTCTTGAATCAAATTTAAAATTACAAAGGTATGTTCACACATAAATACCAATATAAATAGACATATTTGTCTATGGATACGGTATACAGAACGTATCAATACATTGGTCTAATATATCTACAAAAGCTGAAATAAATTTAAATGTATATATACTCTTCAAAAAAGGAGGGGATATTCAGAAACAATACAAAACTGCGGAATACACTGGTGTTTTTATTAGAGGTAACCAGTGTATGTTAATAACAGGCCAATTGCCTATACATGAACATAAACAGTTCCTATGGGCGGTTTTTCTGACGGCCTCATTTCACTCGCAAAGAGATACACCGTCAAAAGTGGAAATTGACGTTTTTGATTTTTGTCTTAATAATGAGTAATTGCTCCACCAATCCTCAGACATTCAGCAATTCGTCGTGGACAATCTGTCCCACTCCTCTTGCAGTGTCACGGTCAATTCTAAACAGTAAATCTTATGCAAGAAGCGATAGGAAAGCAAACATGGATAGATAAACCAGCACGCGGCAGTTTTCATCAACCCTTCCTTGAAGTGTCAAATTTGATAATGACCCCCCCCCCCCCCACACACACACACGTATGGCGCTATTGCGGGTCGCATGTGCAGCTCAGTGGTTCTGTTTGGGCGATAAGTTCTTCATCTGTGAACATACTCTCAAAGCATGTCAAATGTCCATGACTATTTATCATATCGCAACCTGCATAGGTATTTGCATTTCAATATCCCCTACTTTTTTGGAAGAGTATATTTAAACCAAATAATGCTTGACCATTAAGCACATGGGAATGGCCGATCCAAAACTGAGCTACGGAGCCCGGAGATTCAATTGAATCCTGGAATAGATTTCGTCAGATAAAAGAAATCAAAAATTTAGATAAACCATGGATTGTAACCCCGTTTACACTAACAAGCCAAAACAAATATGTCAGTCACAAAATCAGTCTCTTCTAACGGGCATTCAAATGGATATATCTTGTGAAATATAGTACGCTGGTACAGATTCTTGATAGTTTATGATAAAAGATCATCTAGGGTTGTTGTATAGATAGATATAGTACGAAAACTGTAAATAGTTTTCTAGATTTTTTTCAGTTCGTGGAACACTATTATTGTATGCATGCTCGATTCCCATTTATTGTATGGTGACTAATTGTATGCCAGGTTGATTTCGGTTCACCACTATCGTTATTTCCCTTGCGCTAAGAAGCTGCTAGTGAGAGCTCTGACACATTTTGTGTATCTTTACAGGTTATGTGAAATTTGGCATGGATTTACATAAGATACCTGGGAATACCATGGATTGATTTATTACCAGAAATTTTCATCAACTTTGGAGAAATATGCATTTGAAATACTGACAGTAGGGATACAGTGATCATTGTTCATCCAGTTTAGTGGGTGAAACTTATGTTGGCTTATACTAGTGAGGAGTTTCTCAGCTTAAACAACACAGATCTTAAACTTAAACCTGGAGTATTTAACATTATTAAATTTCTGAACATTAACTCTGTTAAACCAACCAAAAGAAGTAGGCCAGGTGGAAAAAAGTTCACAGCCTACCTCAATACCCTGAATACTGTTCAAGAAACACCAATAAATCTGGGTTAAAATCTGTCAATAATGATAAGTTAAACTTTGTTAAACTCAAGATCTGTCAGAAACAAATCAATTGAACTGAATCAGTATATCTTGAATGAATCCATAGACATACTGTTAATATCTGAAACATGGTTAAAAAACAATGACACAATAGTTATTAATGAAATCCCCCCAGACTATGACATCCTGTTTGAAAATCGCCAAACCTCTAGAGGTGGTGGATTAGCAATATTATCTTCATACAGTCATTATCTCTGAAACAGTGTAATAGCTGTGAAATCAAATCTTTCAAGAGTTTCGAACATATTGGTTCAACTTGCAGCAAAATAATGTTTCTGTTCGAATATTTGCCTTATACAGACCTCCCCCTTCTGCTAAAAACAAACTGAATTTCCAAAATTTTGAGGATTAATTCCTTGAATTGATCTGTGATCTTAATGCAACTTTCAGTCAACCCCTATTCTTTGGAGATTTTAATATCCATGTTGACAATGTTCTCGACAATAATTCCCAGAAATTTACACAAATATTGGATAGTTTTGGATTAAAACAACTTGTTGCCAAACCTACACATTGTAGCGGCCACACATTAGATCTAGTTATCTGCAAATCAACCTCAAAACTGATAACAAATGTGCATGTTTGTAACCACGACGAATTATGAGATCACTTCAGTGTGTTTGTGGATCTAAACCTGTCAAAACCAGCCCCTACTAAAACTGACTTAGAATATAGGAAGTGCCGGGATATCAACGTAGGTAAATTCATAGAGGACATCAATATTGAAACTGTATTACAAAAGATATCTGAATTAGACTCTGTTGATGATAAGTGGTCAGTTTTTAATCAAGCCCTTGGTGGAACCATAGACAGACATGCTCCCCTTAAGAAGCGCACTGTTACCATTTGGGTGTTATGTTTAACACTACCATGGATATGTCCAAACAAGTTTCAGCGGTATCAAACGCATGTAACTTCCAGCTGTTCAACATTGGTCGTGTACGAAAATACTTAAATACTGATTCAACTCTTTAATCACATCTAGCATGGACTATTGTAAATCATTACTTTACGGACTTCCAGCTTCTCGTCTTTGTTCACTACAAAAGATACAAAACACTGCTGCACGTCTGATCACTAGAACAAGACAACGCGACCACATTACACCTGTGCTCCCCATAAACAGACGTATTCAATATAACATAATCCTCCTCACTTACAAGTGCATCCATGGTTTAGCTCCTAACTACCTGAGTGATCTTATACACTTCAGAAGTGGAGAAAGAACAACTCGAACAACATCAAAACACGACCTTGTTGTTCCAAAAACTTTGAAAGTGTCATGTGGTGATAGGGCATTTTCAGTGGCAGCGCCCATCCAATGGAATAAACTCCCAGCAACATTAAAGGAAGCCAGAACATTAGAGTCCTTTAAATTATCCCCGAAGACTCGCCTATTGAACTGTGAATACCAAATGTGACAGTGCAGCTCAGCGCCATCGAGTAGAACAGTTCTAGATGAGAGGCGCTATACAAATTCATTATTATCATTATTATAATGTTCTGGCAAGATGAATTTGGAGAAATTTCTTTTGACAAAGCGAATGTTTTGCATGGTTGGTATTTGTAGATTTGTATTTGGATATTTGTTGCTCGAGATTTGTTTTTCGTTGTATGTTTCTGATGAAATGCAAATCTAATTTTTGGGATTTTCTAAAATAAATTTTATCTTTATATTAAAATTAAATTAAATTTAACAAAAATACAATTTACAAAAATATGATATGAAAACATATTTAAGATACAAATGCGTTAATTTCAGTATACAGATGTCGAAATACCACATCAAATGAATAAATAAGAATTAAGGACTATATGGATTAAGAACACTGAATAAGAGCTGTTTGATCCTCACAGAGTTGTCAAGCATTACACTATGAACCATTATGACATTCACCCGGGTCAACCTCTCTTCTAGAAAATGAAGAGGAATAAAGAGAGAGAGAGAGATTCATTGCTTGCGTGAGACAAAACCCCAGATTGATCTGCGGGTATGAATGATACGGATGAAAAGGAAAGAATCAAGTATTCCAGTGATCGAAGCAAGGATGAGTAAGGCAAATATTTGAACACCAGTTAACTTTTAGAAACACTTGCTTTCACCTCACGATGGTCCGATTTGTGGCTGTGAAGAATTTGTGTTCTTATAAAAATACAAGAAACAGAATGTCTCCGACCTAGTTGTTCCACAGGCGCCTATAAGGTGGAAAATATTTAAAAATTAACATCAAGCTATGACTAACTATATGTTTTAAGTCTGTTACGTACATGTTCGTAATCGAGATTATCAAATAACTGGTCTGATTCCTATTTCTAACTCAGGAGCAAATAACTCGCCTGAAACCGATTCTCTTTCAGTAGATATAATACCAAGGTGAGAAACGGATCAAAGTTCACTACTCTAGATTCCGTCAACCAGTGGCAATACTCAATAATGTTCGCTAGGTAGACAGTCGAGTCTACGATGACGTTTAGGTGGGCTAATTTTATATATGTAACTTATATTTTTATCTTAACTATTTATATGTATTTCTTTTTTTTTTGGGGGGGGGGGGTCGTTGGGTGGCCAAATTGTTTAACGCGTGGGCTTTAGATCACAAGGTCTATCACTGAGTCAAGTGACGTGGTTTTAATTCCCTGCTTGTACGAAACACATGGGTATTCTCCTGTTTCTTCTTACACGTAAAGATCCACAGCAAGCGACTTCTTGAAATAAAATTGAACCATATGACCTAGTTTGCAATGAGTAGACCTTAAGATCACCATGTTTGACGCCATGTTTCCCGGCTGGAGCTGACGTGTTATTTCATTCATTCTCTGATACGAACGAAAACACTCCTTACAAACCTTGTTTAACCAAATGAAACTAATCTTATAATATACATTAGATTTATTGCTTTGCTGTTGATCGATATGACTTTCCACGTATATTACAAATCTTTACTGCTATCTCCGACCAGGTTTGGAATGACCGTACAGTGAAATGTTTATTACCATCATGGTAAATATTTTCAAATAGTATATAATTTCAGAGTTTAAAGAACGATTATTAAGAAATATTAGAAAGTAGAAAACTAGATGTCTTACCAATGTGTTCTTGTGCAAGATCCAATGGCGGTGTGTCTGGTATGTATTTATATTTCAAGTCAGGATAAGTTGAGTAGCTATGCAATAAACTGCATCGAATACGCATATAATACGCATGCGTTGCTGTTAGACTTGCAACCATGGTATCAATCGATAACCGATACTAAAAGGTATATATAGCCCGTGGGCCAAGTTTTTTTAGAGCAGTTTTTTTGGGCGTAGATGTCGATTCTGGCTGGTGATCAGGTGTGTAGGGTCCGAGGGGCGGGGGTGTAGGCAGAAGGACCGGTACCTGAAATGGCTTGAAATGTGATATCAATGATGATCATCTTATTATAGATTAGAACACCATTGCTTTCTAGCAGTGTAAATATCAAAAGAAGTGTACAGGCTGCATTTTGGACAACTGTATAGTCTTGCCGGTTAGGGTCATCTTATAAATCCGTAAAGCATACAATTTATAGCACTGTACATCTATAAGTAAATGAATATGGGATCAAAAACATCGTTTACAGCCTTTCCTAAAACATGATTTTATTGAATCCTTTCTTATCAAGAGATTCATTTAAATTACCAAATGTCGTAACTTCTTTTGAATTGAAATAAGCCTTAAAATGTTTAGTAATAAATTAATTATCGACAAACAATTAGCCAAACTGGGAGTTCCTTTTGTTTGATTTTATTTGGTTACAAAAAGATTTTCATACCAATTTTCGCCATTGAAATTTACTCCTTTATTACATGCAAGAAAATAATGTTTCACTAATGATCACAATTCCTGTAAGACTTTTAAGAGTCTCCTACCTGTTCATTTCGCATAAATCTTACAAGGGGGGGGGGGGGGTGATTTATACTATTCAAAAAAAGTAGGGGATATTTGATTTTGGGGGCATAATACTAAAATATGCAAATGACTACGAAAAAAGTCACTATAGAACCTAACAGAAGAAACATTTCCAGTTACATGTGACGCCCAAACCCACCAATAGCTACCGCATGGAATGCAGGTGATGCTTGGGATCATCATGGGGGTCCAACCCAAGATTTGCACGACTCTGACTTTGAATGTTACAGTCATTGTGGCATTGAATTCCAGGGTGGAAACATCAGTTTAATTGTTTTAGTGACCAGAAAACAAATTTTGATATGCGTCGGCTTACCCAAAATGAAAGGTTACGTGCCCTTGGCATGCTACAGATCGGCACAACACAGGCGGTTGTGGCGCGGACGATGAATGTTTCTCAGTCTGTCATAAGCAGGCTATGGTCCAGATACCGTGATACACAATCTGTACAGGACAGACCACGCTCAGGTCGACCAAGGGCGACAACTCAAGCCCAGGATCGATTTATCCGTACCTTGGCCTTGAGAAATCGTGTCATCACAGCAAATCAGATCAGCGCTCGTCTTCAAACAGACACTGGTGTGAGAGTGAGTGGCCAGACGATTCGGAATCGACTGCATAGGGGTCACCTTCGCGCACGACGTCCTCGCGTGATCCCTTGTTTGAGAGATCATCACATTCAGGCAAGACGTCGTTGGTGTAGGGATCGTCAACACTGGGATAATCGACGCTGGAGCAATGTGATGTTTTCAGATGAGTCAACATTCACTGTTGATTTTTTGGACAGACGTAGAAGGGTGTGGCGTCGTCGAAACGAGCGCTTCCAAGACGTTAACGTCATCAGACATGATCGATTTGGGGGTGGTTCTGTTATGGTGTGGGGAGGCATCACTGTTGCTGGAAGAACGGCTTTACATGTTGTTGCAGGGCGTGTTACAGGCCAGTACTACCGGGACAACATCTTGGCAGTCCATGTTGTGCCGTTCGCACGACGTCATGGCCGCCGTTTCATCTTCCAGGATGACAACGCAAGATGTCACAGGGCCAGGATCGTTACAGGTTACCTCCAACAACAGAACATCACCACATTACCTTGGCCAGCACTGAGTCCCGACCTCTCCCCCATCGAGCATGTCTGGGACATGCTTGGACAGAGGTTACGTCAACGTCAACAACGTCCTGCCAATGTCCAAGAACTTGCTGCTGCGTTGCAACAGGAATGGGACAATCTGGACCAAAATGACCTTAGACGTCTCATTAGGAGTATGCCACGTCGGATCAATGCTTGTTTGGCAAACAGAGGAGGATTTACCCGTTACTGACTTGGTTGTGATGCTGTGGTAACTTTGCTGTTTGACCCCGGGTATCATTTTACCCTTATAATGGTCAGTCTGTGCCTTACTTAGTCTAACGATCATTTGGAATAAATCGATGAATGTGAACTTCATTTCATTTTGTCATTTGTTTCTTCGTCAGTTTCATTAGGTGACTTTAATAACACTTAAAAATCAAATATCCCCTACTTTTTTTGAATAGTATAGTTAGCTCACCAAGAGTAGGGTGACCCACCATAAATAAATATCTCCATATATCTCCATATATCTCGACAATTACGCCACAATATTTATATATATGCCAAGCCTCAAATCAGTTTCACACAATTATAGTCACTAAATAAACGATCATGTTGTACTTAATAAGCTATGACCATTAATCATCTATAAATAATAGACTGAAAACTGGTTCCAGGTGTCGTCCATAACATCCAGACACTTTTGAGTAAAAGATCGCTTACGTGCCCTTGTTTTGAAATTAGTCTCGCTTAACCAGTCTATCGACCATTGTACGTCTGATTGACAGGTCGGGATAATCAAGACTACTTTTTTACGAAACATAACAGAAAGCTAGAACAAGAAATTGAATTTAGAAATAAGCACGTTAGGTAGCTCAACAATCGTTTTAAGAACCTTGTAAAAGTAAAATGAAACTACTGCTAGTATCATGTTCCTGTCTAACCCGAGTGATTCAGAGATATTATTTGTACTAAACCAAAAGATGCCGCTCTTAACGGTACTGTTAATGATAAAGCGATTTAAAAAATGAAACGAACGTAATTTCTAAATCTGCTGTAATAACCAAGAAGCTTAATTTCACTGCTATTCAAAATCGTCAACAATAATTTTTTTACGGCTGTAATAGTTGATAGATTTGTAGAGAATTGCACGTGCCATGGCTATTTATAGTATCATACTGTCAGAAAGTTGGTCTCGGCACGGCGAATGTGCACGCTTCAGTGGTAGTCTCGAACTATCAGTGGTGGACTTTATTTCTGTAGAGTACATGGGTCTCCCTACCAAGAGCTAATTTTTAATACCTTTCGACAGTTCCTTATTGGTATTCGTACTATTCAAAAGAAAGAGGAACAGAGAAAACGACAGTCGTTTTTGCCATCCTACATTAAAGTACCTACCTTTCAGGGTGATGTATTAAATTTTGCGTCATGGATTTCAGAGTTTGATCAGCCGGTGCATCTTAATCCTGACGTACACAAGCAAGGCAAGTTAAAGGCGATGAAAGAAGCACTCAAAGGAGCAGCGGCTTCCACGTTGACCAATTTCGATATAATCGGAGAGAATTACGAAAATGCTTATATGTTAGTACGTAAACGGTTTGGAAGGCCAAGATTGTTAATCCACCATGAAGTGGAATCTATTATAAAAATACCCGAACTAAAAGATGACGCTACATCTTACAGGAAATGTTTGGAAACTATCCAAACTCGTTCTATGAACTAAGAATCTCAGAAGGCGGACGGTGAGACGGTTCTAGTAGGCTTTGTAGTTCCAAAGTTCACAAAAACGTTTAGAAGGTCTTGGGAAAGGCATTTAAAATCCCACATAGAGGATGATGCATGTGCATCTATGAAAGACCTCGTTGACTTTCTCCAAGTCGAGAGAGATCTTTTAGAAGCACAGTCAACTGGTACCAAACAAACTATTTATGGACCGAAGAAGCAGCAAAGTGTTGTCAAACAACCCCAAGGCTCTTCCCATTCTCTACCTGCTACCACTGGTCCACCACCAACTAAAAGTAATATTAGTAATTTCAATGGAACCAACCAATCTAGTAAATGTTCCTGTTGTGGTGAACCGCATGGTTTAGAAGTTTGTAAAAGATTTCTTAATTTGGACGAGAAGGATAGACTGCTTCATAATTTCACTGCGAAAGTATGTCGCTCCTGTTTGTGTCCGTATACAGGCCCCAAACACACATGTAAGAGAACATGTACCATATGTTTTAAAAGACACCATGAGTTAATCCACGATGGTTATGCAGCAATCCAAAATACAACTTTGCAAAAACAATCGTCTGAAACTAGTTCACCTCATAATGATGTTACCCCTGCTTCTCCAAAGGGAAGTAATTCTTTGCCTATGGTAATTAGTGCTACCACTAGTCATAGTAAACATAATCAAACTTATGTCGTACTTCAAGCGAAGATAACACATCGAGGTAGATTAGCTATTGTTAACATTGGATTCGACAGCTTTTCTGAAAAAAGTTTTGTTACCAAGGATATTGCGGATGAGCTGAAATTACCTACAAGTAAAATGGCCCCTTTAATAGTATCTGGATTTGGTGGATGGAAGACTGAGCTCAAGAACCAACGTCCATCGATCTAGTTCCAATTCATCAGCAGGAAACATCAAATGGTTCAGTACCTGGACAAACCTTACGTGTACATGATATAACCCGCAACGGGGATATTTGTGATCCAATTTCTCCAGTCCACTTACGTCCTGATGCTGCTAACGTGTTTGAAAAGTATCCACCAGATGGTGATGTCCGTGTCCATGTACTTCTTGGACCTCAGCATGTTATTTCAAACTTACAAATGGTTACCCAACTTGGAAAAGATGGTCCGTGTTTGATGTCAACACCATTTGGATATACCATAGCTGGAGCATATCGAAGCACCGCTCATTTAAAGGCAGGCACGGTCACATCGTGTCTGTTATTATTACCAACTGAACCTCAACCAATCATGGAATGAATACGATGATATAGGAGAGGAATTACCATTTACTTCTAATGAAACAGAAGTGTCTAAATTAAATACCCTATTTGAACACCATATGTCACTGGAGTCTTGGGGTCTCGAAACAACTTCGTCCTTATTAACAAACGACGAGGCGCTTGCTGAACAGAAGTTTCAAGAAAACGTCATGTATGATCATGTCAGCAAACAGCATGAAGTAGCTTTACCATTTCGAGATAATAGTCCACC